GTGTTCAATGTCCTTAGTCATCAGGAAAAGGTAAATCAAAACCACAATGAGATATCACTGTATGCCCACCAGGATGGTTTATAATTAAAAGACTGATAACAATGTCAGCAAGGATGTAGAGCAACTGGAATACTCTCATGGTTGGTGGGAACATTCACTTTGGACAAGAAGTAGACTTTCCTTTAAAAATGAAACATAGAGCAGCTATAATCCAGCAATTACACAACTAAGTTTTTTCCCAAGGGAAAAAAATCAAAAGATTTGTATAAGAATGTTCATAATCACTTATTTATGATAGACAAAACCTAGATACAGCCCAAGTGTCCATCAAGAGGAGAATGGATATACAAATGGTGGTAGAATCATACATACATGAGAATACTACTCAGCAGTATAAAGCAATGAACTACTGCTACAATAACATGAACAAATTCCAGAAACATTATTGTGAGTGAAAGAAGTCTTACACAAGGAGTTGATACCATTTGATCACTAATATAAAATTCTAGAACAGCAAAATTTGATATGTGACAAAAAATCAAAACAGTGGTCACATCCTTCTAGATCTTGGTAGGGGTTTGCGTACATAAGCACAGATTTTTCAAAGCTCAGAAACTGTATACTCAATTTTTACATTTCAACATATGTAAATTATATGACAAAAGTAAATATTGAACTGATATTTTTAGGTGGAAATTGGTTGATGCCTATAATTAGTTTTTTTATGTGTGCTGGGGATTAAACACAGTGCATTACATGTACTAAGCAAATGCTCTACCGACTAAAGAACTTCCCCAGCCCTACAATTTATTTTTAAATACATGAAACGTAAGATAGATTAATGGAGAAGGCATGTACAAGTATGTGCATGTATAGATGTATATGTATAACACATATGATAAAGCAAGAATTGTAAAATTTTAATGGTAGAATCTACAACTAGGTGGGGGGTATGTGGGTGACTCTGTAAAACTCTTTTAACTTGGTGAATATTTGAAAATACTCATGATAAAGACCTGAGACCCACTTGAGTTGTTAGATCCAAAAGCTCCACTTTCTTAGAATTCATATCAGCAGATTATAGAGAAAACAAAGACTGGGATTAGAAGAATCTCCAATCTGATTTCTTTTTCTTTTCAAATTTAGTCTTTCACACTTTAGTATGTGAGTGGACAAAAGAAGCCAGGAAACAGTGACTGTAAGAGAAAGAAAGGGAAAGAGAGTTTGGAAGATATGTAGCCTTAAACAACAACAACAACAAAAACTCCTAATGTAAAATGTTGAATATCCAGAGCAGGCGCTGAGTCTAGACTTTGTAGAATCAAGAAATTAATGAAAACACCAAGGCTGCATCCTCAGAACCACTGAGGAATGATAATTACAGACAGTATTTCTGGAGCAGACACATAACCTTGAGTCCCAGGATACCCCCTAAAGCACTCTAATAGTATGCTATTTGTGGAAGGTTTTTCCACCTTTAATAACAGAGAAATAATGTTAGAAGGAAAGAAATCCCTCATTTAGTCACTGGGGTGTCATTACTGAGCCCCAGCTGAAGGCCCCTTAAAAGCATCCATGTGGTGAAAGAACATGTTTCCCCATGAAATCAAAAATGAGTACATCTGAGACTTTTGAACATCTTTTTCTTTGGATCTTAAAATGGATTTGTGCATATTTGTGAAAAAAAATTTTATGATGTGCTATCTTCCAAAGTGAATGGTTATTTATAATTCATAAAAGACCTGAGCACAGGAAAATCTTTTCCTTTTATTAGCCCTGTATAGTTAGACCAGCTGATCTTTTAGAACATATTATAGACATCAAATTCTCCTCCGTATGGTTGAAGTTTCTCTCTTCAGACTAAATGCGAAGAGACAGTGCTACTGAATCTGTTGCTCAAGAGCTGGTGGGGTCCAAATCTCTTTTGATTAAATGTTAAATAAACAAAACACCACTTTCAGAACCAGTCTCCAAAGACACAGAAGGGAAAATACTTGGAATGCTAAACATACTTTTCAAATCTTGCACAGCCTTTGTAAAATATGAAGGCATATTTTAAAATGGATTTTCTGTTTCCAGCATTTAACCAGTCTTCAGACACAGTTTTGCCACATCATTTCCTTTCCACTGCTTCTGGCTACTTATGAGTCAGAATCCTGATAGCATGAGCAAGAGTGACTTGGGCCAAGGAGTATGGGCACCAGGGGATCTGGACCCAGTACAGGGGGCCGTGGTGCCAACGGTTCCCATCCAGCTGCACCTGCATTTCCCCCACCAATCATGATATCACGGAAAGTTATTTCCTTCAAAGAATCCAGCTTTCTTAGCTCACCCTGCTAGGGTCACGTCTACCTCATTTGCTGCTGTGCCACAGACCCACATAAAAGAGTTAGGCAGATCTTAGTTAAATCTGAAAATAGCACATGTTCTTGCTTTCTTTGAAGTTCCCTGCCCTCTAATATTCCAGATGAGCCTTGTCAACTCTATTTTAGAACTATCTGGAGATAGATGTGCTCTCTGTAGCCTGAATTTAAATGGCTTAACTTAAAATATGGATTGCTAATTGCCAAATGCAAAAAGCCAATTCACTTTGAGAACAGATTCCTTGGCCAAAAGAGGAAAAAAAAATTGTCTCACCCTTTGTTCTATAGCATACCCCTATTCCCACTGCTGCCCCAAAACAATGATTTCTATTCAGTTTCAAAGTTTCTGCTAAACTGAGAAGTTCTTCCATAATATAGACAGTTGGGGCGGCCAATGAAGCAGACGTTGTAGAGCTGAACACAATACTGACGTTCCTTGCTCCTGAGATGTGAGAAGCCCCATCGATATTGGATGGGAAAGGAAGAGAGGTGAAATTCAGCTAATGATGATTACATCATGGTAGGCAAATCTCTCTAGGAGCAGTTAGTTAGCTTTCTATCACTATTGAAAAATCATCAACGTATAAAGTAAAAAGTTTTGTTCTGGCTTACGGTTTTGGAGGTTCCAGAACATGGTTTTGTGGCCCCACGGCTTTGTGCCATGACAGCATAGCATGGTGGGAGCTGGTGGCAAAGAAAAGGTAGTCCAGAGAGGAAGAAGAAGGGGCTCAGGTCCCACTATCTTCTTCTAGGGAATGTCCCCTACCATGATCAGCAGATCTCCCATTAGACCCCACATCTTAAAGTCTCCACCACCTCCCAATACTGCCAAGCCGGCGACTAATTCTTTAACATATGACCTGCAGGGGGTCACCCCAGATCCAAACCACAGCAGAGGGACACCGGCTTTCTGACAGTTCAGTACTCTCCTTCCCCTCTTACTAGCTCTCAGGCTTTCAGTTGCCAGAGGACAGTATAAATACAGAGAGGAGGAATGCAACATTCAAGTGCTTTCTGAGCAAGTTTTTCACTATCGTGTGCTGCCTGACTCAGAAGATCCGAATGAAGAGATCTCAACCTCTTGGCCACATGCCAGCTTCCCTGTGTGGTACCAACAGTTGGGAAGGAAAAGGCAATATTTATTCTGAGGACCCTGACAACACCATCCTTAAGTCATTCACCTACTCCTGAGAGGTTTGCATTTTACAAGATCCAATGGGAGAGGCTCCATGAGCTGTACTAGAATTTTCTTCCCTTTTCCACCCTCCCTCTTATTCAACAGATCTAAGCACTGTTTGGAAAAAAAAAAAAATAATAATGATGGCAAAACCAAACATGTGATGTGCTATCATTTTAGTTTTAGTTTCACCCTTCCAGAATTTATTTCCCTATCACAAAAATTGAAATCTTTCAAGTCTTTCCTCTTCATCATCCACCACTCAAAACATTCAATCATTCTCTAACATAAACCTTAATCAAATATCTACTGTGTATCACATCCATCCATCTATCCGTCCTTACTACAAATATCACTTGAGCACTTAGAATGTGTCAGCCCCGTTGTAGAGATGCAGAGATGAAAATCTGTGAGCTTTGCCCTTCAGAAGCTCATGTCACACTGAGGATGCTCTCATCTATGTCCCATAGGCTACACGGAGTAAAGTGAACTTGCTGCTGTCACTATGCAATGGCAACGAAGCAGGGGCATAACTTCACTCTGACAACTTCTCTAGGTTCATGACCTTGCCCATCCCTTTCCTTTGTTTGCCACCCACCCTCCCCACTGGAACCTCATATATGGTCACTGAAGAGAAAAACTAAATGTTCACTGCAGAAGGAAAAATTTTGAGGGCCTGGCATGAATAAAACATAAAATAATGTCAAATGCTCACTTTGTATTTCTGAAATTTAAACAGCTACTGCCAAGTTCAGTGTTATTTGATTTTCTTTCCTCCTTTCCTCTACTGACCCCTCCTCTGCAAACAGGCCTTTGGGGTGAAAGTTCATCTGGCTAATTCACCCAATCCAATCATCTTTCTGATCTCTAGAGACAAGCAAGGGGATCTTCCTTTGTGTGCTTGGGGGCGGAGGGAGGGGCCTAGGCATGGCTTCTTTATCCAGCATCCACTAAGCTATGTCCTTTGAAAGATTGCTTTATTGGGGAGAAGATTGGAGGGGAGAACTGAACTGGAAAGAAACCTGAGTGAGAAGAAGATGCCAGAAAGGCACGCAAGGCTTCCCTTTAGGCTGCCTCTAGCCAAGGCTCTGACTAACACTAGGGTTTGTTTATGGCATTTCATGAATAGGCCAGGCGGGCTGCCTTAGCCAATACTTCTTGAAGAAGTTTCCATCCCCCAGGACAAAGCCAGATTGTCCCTGTTTGCCTGTTGCAGTTCACCAAGACTGGTTTACAGGTTTGCAAATACTACAGGGTCAAGATATGGATCCTCTCATCTCCAGAGGCTACTGTCAGAGCCAGAGGTAAGTGGGACAGCCACCTATGAAAGGAATGCAACTCTGCCCTACCTTGTCTTTTTCTTTTCTTTTGGTACTGGGGATCTAACCCAGGGGTACTTTACCACTGAGCTATATCCCCAGCCCTTTTTAATTTTTTTTTTTTTTTTTTTTTTTTTTAGAGACAGTTGCTTATTCTGGCCTTGACTTATGATCCTTCTGTCTCAGCCTCCCAAGTGGCTGGGATTACAGATGTGTACCTGGCTCTAATGGTCATATTCTTTAAAATATTTTTTAAACAGGTAAAATTTACCTTAAAATTTATGTTTATTTATCTTACACAACTTTATTGACATAGAATTCACATATCATATAATGCACCCATAAAAGTGATTAATTTAAAATATTCACAACCAGCACAACAAGCAATGTAGAACATTTTTATCACACCATTCAAAAACTCCATACCATTAGCACTTTCCATTTCCCTCCAAAACCTCCCAGTGCTTTGTAACCACCCACTCTACCTTCTGTCTCTATGGATTTTTCTACTGGCTATTTCACATAAATAGAACCATACAATGTGTGGCCTTTTATATCTGGCTTCTTTCACTTAGCACAATATTTTCAGTGCTCATTCATGGTATAACTTTTTTAAGCCATATCTTTCCAAAGCATTTTCATTTCATGTAATCAAAAATTGTTTTTAAAAAGTTGCTCATAATATGCTTCACATTTTTTACACTAAGTTTTTGGATGTTAAATTATATTATACACTTGCAGCAATCACATCTCAACCAGCTCAGCTACATTTCCAGTGCTCAATAGCTACATGTGGCTCCTGGCTACTGAATTGGCCAGCATAGCCCTAGCTGGAGTCCTTTCTGTTCCTTGTTAAAAACAAGAACATAAACTCTTTCTGCTTGCTATCCCACTCCTGGGCATCTCTCATCCCTATTGGCAACTACACCATGATTCACAAGTGACTTTAGGATTTAAGGCAGTCCCTATATTGTGCTGCTTAATTCCCTTTTTGTTTCTCTTGCAGAGGACTATGGGATCCAGCTTCTACCTTGGCCATGGCAACTGAGATCAAAGCATGTGAGCAGGTAACTGGAGCCCTCTCTAACTGCTGGCTCTGCTTACCCAGGTGCTATGGTGAATGGCTCATTTTGCTGCTGTGAAACTGCTTCCCTTCTTGAGAACAGCCTTGAAAAAAAACTTAACAAAAGAAGCTGTTCTCTTACTTTAAAAAAAAAAAATAAGACTGTCATTTCTTAATTTTCTCCCTGCCACATTTTCCAGCCATTGTTTTGCTAATAATAGCTCTAAGCACACAAATAAAGCTCACTGGTAGTGGTAGATTTGTGAAATTGCTACAAGCTCCCTCACAGCTTTATCCTGCTCCTGTCAGCCATTTCCCCAAGAAAATGGACGTTTAATCAGAGCAAGGTGCATCTTATTAGTCTGGCTCATCAGCTATCACCTCTTTCCAGGCTCCAGAGAGAAGACAGATACCCACAGCGCTGCCACCAGACTACCCAGGATGCAGGAATTTCAATATGAAGCAGCGCCTTTATGAACCAAGCACAGTATTTATCTCAGCGTGGCTCCGTCTATATAGTAATATGTAAGTTATTTCTAAACATTTGTGACTCCTAAGATTGGCACATGGAAATGTTAGTGACATTACCTTTTTTTGTGGAAGAAAAAACTTACAAAATAGAGGTCTACAAAACGGAAGAATCATGGCAAGTTTAATAGGTACATACTTAATAAAGATATAAGAACAGCAATATTAGCATCTTTCCTGTTTGTTCCAGAGCAGGAAGAAAGGGAACGCACCAAAGTTGCTAAAGAAGGGATTTGGGGTTGACTTTAGGAAGAACTTTCTGGTAATAACATTAAAGTGCTGAAGAACCCCACAGAAGAGGCTTTAGGGTTTCCATCATCATACACTGCACTGGCATTGACTGAGCACCTTTTAGGGAATTTAATTAGGAAGTTGTCATTCAAATATTTTTCTAGAGTCTGGTTTCCTAACTTGAAGTGTTGCTATCTCTTTATTCAAACTTAGCTTTTCTTTTTCTTTTTCTCTTCCTTTCTCTCTCTCTCTTCCTTCCTTTATTCATTCTCTCCCTTCCCTCTTCTTTCCTTCCTTCCTTTCTTTTTCGTTCCTTGCTGCTGATAACCCAAGACCTCACAAATGCTAGGCAGATGCTCCACCTCTGAGCTACAGCCCAACCCCTTGTCTTTTCTTGTGCTTGGCTATCTATGATGGGCCCATGGTTCTGGAGTCTGCAAAAAAAAAAAAAAAAAAAAAGAAAGAAAGAAAAAGAAAAGAAAAAAAACCTTAAAAATTAAAGATTATTTTAACAGTAGAAAAAAATATATTCACTACACAAGTCAAGACTTTTTTGGCCCTTTGCTCAAATGGCCATTCATAAAGCATGGTATTCTAGGAACAGATAGCAATGGTAAATACCTTGGAGGTTTGGAGACTTCCTGTGAGCTTGCTTATATAAAATACCTGTTTCCTTTTACTCAACTAAAAATTTATTTTCTATAGAAAATGGCACCAACACTGCCATTCTAGGATTTTCTATTAGGCCTCACTCACACTACTTGGCTATGCATGCACAACAGTTAAAACACCCAGTGTCCCAGGGAATGTTGTAAAATTTTACTGTCTTCAGTGACACCCTATTCCATGAGTTGTGGAGAACCAAGTTTTCATGGGAGCACCTGGCTATGAATCACTGGCTCATTGGCCGCCATTTGGAGTCTGTTTTCTTGTTGTAATTAAATTTTCCTTCTGTTATGCACATTCCTCTGATGGTGGTTCCTAACCTTTCCAAGGGGTGCATATCTAATTCCACAAAACTCTGAAATGACTTCAGTTGTTTCCAAGGCACTCTTCTGTGTCATTTAAAAAGTGTTTGAAACCTCTTAATAGTCCCCCTTTCTTCTTCTTTTCCTTATGCTTATTTTCAAATGGAAGGAAATCTTGTGAGGTAATAGGGTGGTGAGGGTCGGGTAAGTTTACTTTAACTCCTGTTAGTTATTCCATGTTATGCTTCAATGGGTTATTTGCATCTGGTCTCTATTTGTTAACATCGATGGGCTATGTTTGCATAACTAGATGGAATTATGAAAGGACTTCCATTCTGAATGTTTAGCACTGACAGAATGGTTCATGTTCACACACACAGAGATCACCACCAAGCAACCAAGCTCCAAGTACAGATAGCAGCCTTGGAAAAGCTGTGCTGGAGGGGAAAAAGATTCTCTTAAAGTTCATCTGGAAGCCTTTCTGGTTTCAATTTCCCCTCTCCTTTTGAAATAAGATCCAGTACCCCCAGTCCTCCACCTTGAGTAAAGTAGCTGGGACTTGGCAGGAAGTGGTGTGGCAGACCACCCAAGAACAGAGGTGTCTGATGTGCAAGGGAAGTTAAAAGAAAATCTAAAGACATGTCAAAGGGATGGGAATGAGTCACGGATCCAGGCTCCCTCTTCCTGCCAGTGAGGGTCCCCACATTGAAGCTTTCAGTTAATCATCCAGCTGGAAAAGGTTGGGCTAAGTCACTTCTGGCCCATAACCTCTGCTGTAAGACAACGCACAACTAACCCATTCCAAAGACTTCCAACACTTTCAAGTTCTTGAGAAATGTTCCTGTTCCTTCAACCCCTCAGGCTGTGTTTTGTAAACATGCCTCTCTCTTCCTTTTACACACATTTCCTTATCACCATCTGATGTCTTCCATGAAACTGTGAAGTTCCTCAAGCCAAAGAACAGACCTTGTTCCACCTGAGTGTGCCTAGCACCTCCGTGCTAATACCTGGGATGGGCAAGTTAACCCACATCTGGCTTTCAGTACTTAGCTTATTTTATTATCAGTTCAGACCAAAGGGCTCTCTTTAAGATTGCAAGATCTGGAAGGGCAGGACCTCAATTCATGAACAGGGCAAGCGGCTCCCTGCCAGAGTCAGTTTCCCTGATAACAACCACATCTGGGGTGTAATTTGAGGAGTATGGGAAATATCCCTCCTACCCCACCTCCTGAAATTCCATTCAGAACATTTTATCACTTACAGTTTTGATCCTTGTTAAAACACAAATTCCTCTGAGAGCAGTGACATGATAAGTTATCTGTAACTTAGGATAGATAAGGACAGGTAATGAGCCAGGGGGAAGGAGATGGAGATGTCAACAGACAGTGGAGTTTAGGTGTCAGTCAGCCCCATTCACACCAGAATCTTTTCCAGAAGGTCTGTGAATATGAAGAATTACTCTCCGTCCCAAGGCTCAGCAGACTAGACTATAAATAAGAAGGGAGACATTTAGAGAGCCCTGACTATGTGCCACACAATGCTCAACAACCTATCATCCCCTCAGCTACCAGAGATACCAGCCACCAGCTACCTATTATTATCCCAACTTTACAGATGAGAAAACTGAGCCACACAGTCCCAGAAGTCAAACAACCCCAGGAGAAGCACTATTGACATGTAAATAGTTCCCAAACTGACTTTCTCATCCCTTTTCCACATTCCCCCTTGATCATCATTCTTCTTTTACCCTTGTCTAAAGACTTTCCTTAGATAATCCCCATGAATCCTAAATGTGGGAAACACAGACAATTAAGAAGACAGCAACAGGGTTCCAGCTATACATAAGCCCTCTACAAAGATGAGTTTTCAAGAAGTGGCAACCAACACGCTGGTTGAAAAATTGTGATCTAGGACTTTAAAAGTAACTGTGAGTTCCTCTCAAATGCAGTGCACCCACTGAGATGCTTCCTCCCACCCCATACTATTGTCTAAGCAGGGTCATGAGCCCAGCAACCTTCACATCACTTGACACACATGGAGCCTTGTCTGGGTGTGTTAATTGTAAGGTATAAACAAACACACATATGACCCAGCTAACAACAAGACGATGAGTTGAGATAGTTCATCTTGAGGGTTTAACTGGGGAAGATAGTCTCCTTTTTAATCTTTACATGGGAAAAATTATATGGACATTTGCTCCCTAGAAAAGAGGTGATCGTCCAATAACTAGAAGCAGACCAAGCTAAGACAACGACAACAATGAAAATAGATAGATAGCAGAGTAAGAGGCAGGATGATGGCACCATGTCTTGTTCCTGACAGGCGCTTGGTACACATTTGTAGGGTTTTGCTAAATGGAATGCTGTGACATTGGAAATTGGATTGCTTTTGAGAACATCCTCACAGAGCAGCTCGCAAGGCAAGCATAACTGGGAGATGACCTGGGGAGCCCACACCCCTGCCTACATCACACAAAGAACTCCAGGAACAGCCCTGCCTGCATGGGAAGCCCAAGCACCAGACAGGTGTGGCAAAGCTGAGTAGCCCTGTACACAGGGGCAGAGTGTGGCTGCTCTTCACCCTCCAGGACCTCACTGCTCTGAGATTCTGCTAGATCCTTTCCGGGAACAGCAAAGAGAAAACAGCTGGGCTCTCACACCAAGCTCCACAACCTTCCTTTGAGGGCACCGGGCTGGGGATTCAGCTCAGTTGGTAGAGTGCTTGCATGCGCCAGGCCATGAATTCAATCCCCAGCACCATACACACACACACACACACACACACACACACACACACACACACATACACGTGTTAACTTCTTAAAACAGCGGCCAAATGTTTTCTCTGACAAGTGGATGCTAATCCAAAATGGGTGTGGGTGGCATGGGATGAGTGGAGACACTTTGGATGGGGCAAAGAGTGGGGGCCTAGGGAGAGGAAAGATGGTGGAATGAGACAGATATCATTACCCTAGGTACAGTGTAGGATTGCACGAATGGTGTGACTCTACTTCATGTACAACCAGAGAAGTGAAAAATTGTGCTCCATTTGTATACAATGAATCAAAGAGCTTTCTGCTGTCAGGCAGGTAAAACTGATTAGAACTAATAAATTTTTTTTTTTAAGTTTGAGGGTATTTACATGTAGTGTGACTTTAAAACATTTGAATGATCTTCATATAATTCACATAAAAGAAGTAACTCTTTGAAGCAAATCACTTAAATCTTCAAAAATTGTGTTTGTAATTTGGAGGCTTTGGACCGATTGCCAAATTCTCCTTTTCTCTCATCATTATCACCAGAGGCCACATTTTATGTTCTTCTATATAGATAGTGTAGGTTAAACTTGTTGAGATTTTTGGAGGCTCATTACTACCAAGAAAACACTGATAACTTTTGTGCTTTTCTCTTGTACTTGTAAAATGCAAGTAGGAAATTTCTTACTTTTCAAAAAAATATTTTTTAGTTGTCAATGGACTTTATTTTATTTACTTATATGTGGTGCTGAGAATAGAACCCAGTGCCTCACACATACTACCTACCACTGAGCCACAACCCCAGCCCCACATATTTCTTACTTTGAAAGAAATTTTTCACTTTCATGATGACCTTGGCTTGCAGCTCTACCGGTGCTACAGAGTACCGACAGCTTCTTAGGTTTGGTTCCTCTTCTTTCTCTCTCATCCATGATTAAAATTAGAACTACAGTAAATATTTTGATGTTGTTGTTGGTACTGGGGATTGAACTCTGGGGTACTCTACCACTGAGCCCATACCCTGCAGGCCTTTGTATTTTTAT